AAATAATTGTAAATATAAATTATTTATAATATATATTTATTATAAATAATATATAACATTTTAATAAATTATTTATATAAATATATTTCTTTCTATATCAGCGCTTTAGAATTTCCTATAGAATGTACATTAACCTTCAGAATATCACTCAAATAATTTTATAATCAATAAAATAATCGTTTTGCTTATTAGAGGATCAAAGAGAATAACGTGTCGTAATGAAGATAAATTCATTCTTAACTAGAACTATCGATGAGATTAGAGCATAAAATTTTCATCATTAAACTAAAAAAAAAAGAAGAAAAAAGAAAAAAAATAGAAGAGAGACTTTATAGTATAATGGAATGTACGAGCTTTCATTTATATAGTTTACGAACAATTATTTAAATTTTCAAAAGTACATTATTATTACGTAACTACAAAATATCACAAAAATTATAAATTGGCCATTTTGACCATTCTGATAGGTCTAGTGTTGATTTGTCACATGCTCTTCGTTTAGTACCAAACCTTTCGACTTTTGGTAACTTTAATCATACATATGGAGGATAGAAGAAAGTTTTTCACAACACTATGAATAAATAGCCATTATTGATATTTAATTATTTAAGAAAGAACGTCTAATATAATTCTCATACTACGTGTGTGTGTAACAATCAATAAATATCATACTGTTCGCCATTGTACGTGCATAGATTGATAGACTTGCGTATTAGTTTATTTATTTATTAGTATACGAACGATTTTCGGTTAGCCAAGTCCAAATCTAATTAAATATATATGCACGAATCACATTTCTGAAATTATTCACAACGAGTATCGAACGACGTCCGCTTGACAACGTAGCTTCGCATCGACAAATTGAACAACTTGACGAACGTGTCCATTTCTTTTTTTCCTATTTTTTCCCCTCTTTTTTTCCAACGAGGATATGTTTATAAAAGAGGAGCTAATGAGTTGGACACAATAGACGCGCGCGTGCATATATTTATTACCTATTGTATCATCGAAACACGAAGCCCCCGCATTTAAGAAAATCGCAATACGGGCTAATTTTAGTCGACAATAAAGATTCGCTGCATGCTCAGTTAGAATGAATGGAACATTTCATGAGAAAACAGAGGAAAGGAAAGAAAAAAAAAAAAAGAAAGAGAGGAAAGACAAAAGAAAACAAAGAAGCTTCACGTCATTTCTACGCAGAGATATTGGAAAGCATTCTCTTCAGAAGAGAAGAGCCTGATATGCATATTTGAATGAAAACGTATTTAAGCTGCTATCATTGAAAGATTATTCGTGTCGTTAATTATTTCTGTCCCTTCATTTTAACTGGAGCACTAAATTCTCGGCGGGCGACGGACGAGAAAGAGACCGAAGAGAGAATTTCTTGCATTATTGCTCTTCGTGTTGAGTGGCACAGAAACTTCGTTAGTTGTTTTGTCAAAAAGAGAAGAGAGAGAGAGAGAGAGAGAGAAGAGAAAAAAAGAAGAGACAACTCGAGGGAACGTGACTTTGGAAAAATAATTGTTGTTGCTTTTAGGGAGTGATAGACGATGGCGGGATAAACAAAATGTACGAACAGAATTATTTCATTCTTTTGACTCTTTGTGCGTGGTTACGATGCTGTCAACCCTCCATTTGACACATTTTTTTCTAGCAAAATCTGCAAAATCGTTGAATATTTATACCTGGTACCTGGTATATATACGATAATCCACAATAAGTAATGAATATTAAAAGTAAAAGTGTTCCAAGCTTGTGTGTGTGTGTATTATATATATAATTTTTATATATTAATATATATTAATAATTTTATTAAATATATATATATATTTAATATATTTTACTTATTTAATATATATAATATATTTAGTATATTTTACTTATTTAATATATATAATATAATATATTTGGTGTATTTTGTTTATTTAATATAATAATATAATATATTTAGTATATTTTACTTATTTAATATATACAATATAGTATATTTAGTATATTTTACTTATTTAATACATATAATATAGCATATTTAGTATATTTTATTTATTTAACATATATAATATGCTATATTTAGTATATTTTATTTATTTAATATATATAATATAGTATATTTAGTATATTTTATTTATTTAATATATATAATGTAGTATATTTAGTATATTTTATTTATTTAATATATATAATATTTAATATAATATAATATATTTAGTATATTTTACTTATTTAATATATAGAATATAGTATACAATTTTTATACATTAATTTTTATATGTTAATATTTTATATACTAATTTTTATATATTAATATATATTAATAATTCACATGTTCAGGAAATAAATGACATTTTGAAATTTCTGCAAATTCGAGTTCATGGAGACGAATGCAGGCTCCGTGGTAACTTTCTCAAAGGCTTTCGAAGCGTATCGACCGAACTTGGAAATTCTTTGCCGGTTTCTAACCTTTCAATGCTTTTACCTTTACCTTTCCGTCACGAGTACGCATGCGATATACAGAAAAGTGCCTTCATCGAATTCGCTCTCTATATGGACCGCAAATGTATACGCGCGAAAGGACGATGACACCTTGAAATCGTGATCAGTATATTCTAGATCAAAAGCTCGGAGCTGAATCCCGCAATTGGATTAACATCGGGGCATTTCTTTCGTTAATCGCTTTTCGTTGGTCAAAGATAGGATTTATTTGGAGATTTATTTCTTTGGATTTGTACACGATGAACCAATGACGATGAAAAATACTCATTACCGAATAAAATTGTTACTTTGAATTGCATAATTAAAGATCGTTGTAACTTTGCACAGGAAAATCATGTAACAATATCCTCGATGATTGAAAATTGTAAAAATTTAGACATCTCCATAAACATTGATGAACATTTCTGACGATCATTTCGAAAAATGAAGTCTCACCTTTACAACGAGCTATTAAAACATTTTATTATCCTAATGTTCGAAGTTCGCTTAAAAATTTTAAGAGGTCTTTTTAAAGAGGAGATTCCAATCTTTAAAATCATGGTAGACTTAGTCACGAAAAAATTTTTTTTTATTACTTTTAGAGACATTTGAGTTTCCACAATTTTCGAGAAAAAAGTATCTTTACTTTCCTGTCTGCTACATAATGTAAAATCATCCGTTGGAAAAAACGGACCGAAGACTGTGAAAATAGAAGTATTAAGCTTCAAATTGAGACCAATTGAGACCAATGTGAATATTTCTTTTACAAAATGGCAAGAGTTCAGCAATTTTTCATCATTATTGGTTCACTATAATTAGAAGTATCGTATCTAGTTTAGACATTAGACATAATTTTTTTGAAAAAACAAATTGATTGAATTATTAGATTATTGTATTACCGATAACCGATAACACGTATAAAATCATCAGATCAGTCAATCTGACGCGTGATATGAAAATTTGATAATTTTCGTAATTACATTCTAACACCTAACTTTAGTTCGAAGACGCGAAATGTTCTGTCTCTTTGAATAGTTGAAAATACTATAACTGTTCTGATCACGAAAATTGAGCGTATACAGGGTGATTCGCGTAACTTGCACATCTAAAGTAATTTTTAAATTATGCTCATGTCCAATGAAAAATTGTTTAATAAAAAATTTTAAGGAAAGCAAAATATGGCTGCGGGTTTCGAAATTTCCAAGGGCATCTTTATTTCTTTCAATTGGACATAATGGACCGTATGTTTTTTTTTTTTTCATCGTAAATCGAAATTCGAGGTGACAAAATATCAAGCCACATTTATCCTAAACTTAATATTTACGATAATTTGACCGTCAACGTCCATGGTTTCTCGAGACAAATTATAAGAAAATACCATTAGGTTTAATACCAATGTAACAATACTTTTTTACTTCTAATTTAATATTTTTGCAATTTACGATGAAAAGAACTATATAGTCTAATTAAAAAAAAAAAATAAATTTCTATGACTCTGGAAATTTCGAAACCCACCAGAAATTGATACATTCCTTCAAAACTATACAACTTTTGTATCAAATAATTTTTTATTAGACGCAAGGATAATTTAAAAAGTAATTTCAGGTGAGCGAGTGAATAATCCTGTATATACACGGGGTGGTCACTGAAAAACTGAAGGGTTTGGAAAAGTCACAACTCATTCATTTTCAATCTCTTTTATTTTCTTTTTTTCCTAGGTCATATCATCCCTAGCACCCCGTGGAGATCAAAATTAAAATTAATTAAAATATAAATAAAATGTTTAAAAAACACGTGTTTGTCATATCATCCCTAGCACCCCTTGGAGATCAAAATTAAAATTAATTAAAATAATAAAATGTTTAAAAAACACGTGTTTGTCATATAATCCCTAGCACCGCTAGGAGATCAAAATTAAAGTTAATTAAAATATAAATAAAATGTTTAAAAAACACGTGTTTGTCATATCATCCCTAGCACCCCGTGGAGATCAAAATTAAAATTAATTAAAATATAAATAAAATGTTTAAAAAACACGTGTTTGTCATATAATCCATAGCACCCCTAGGAGATCAAAATTAAAGTTAATTAAAATATAAATAAAATGTTTAAAAAACACGTGTTTGTCATATAATCCCTAGCACCGCTAGGAAATCAAAATTAAAGTTAATTAAAATATAAATAAAATGTTTAAAAAACACGTGTTTGTCATATAATCCATAGTACCCCTAGGAGATCAAAATTAAACTTAATTAAAATAATAAAATGTTTGAAAAACACGTGTTTGTTATATAATCCATAGCGCCCCTAGGAGATCAAAATTAAACTTAATTAAAATAATAAAATGTTTAAAAAAAACACGTGTTTGTAAGGGTTATTTTTGCTTTTGTGTCATTCAGTGACCACCCTGTATATACGCTAACGATGCAAATGAGTTGCAATGCAATGAAAGAAAAATTCGGGGGAAGGGGGGGGGGGAGATGGGGAGGAATTTGGGTAAGTATGAATGAAAGTCAGACTAACCTTGAGCGTGGACGACACAGAAGAAAGCGGCGACGGTGGCGAGGACGTGACACCACATTTTTCCCCTCCCCCCCTCCTCCTCCGCCCACTTTTACCACTTTCCTTCGCTACCGCCGGCCTTATATCCAACTTCGTTTCACTCTCCGCGGCCCCGTCGGTTCCTTCGCGGAAACAAGAAGGACGCGCTGCGTTTGTAATCGCGTTTCCGACGTATCGCGTGCCGGTTAATCGACGGTGTTCGTTCCGACCGGGCTCGTAACTCGATCATTTAACGTCACGAAGGATCCTGCGTTCACTCATATCACCCGACGTTCACTTGTTTCCGTTAAGCTGGCTCCCCGCGTTTCCGTTGTTCCCGATTCTCTTTCGTTCTCGTTTTCGTTTTTACTCGGACCCGCACTCCGACTACCGGTTCCGCCCCTTCGTTTCACACTTGAGAAAAAAATTTACAAATCAGCACTTTCGAAGGCGAAGTCACTCGTCTCGATTCTCACGATCTTCGCGAAGTCGATCCTTCTTCGACAGATTCATCTTGGCATAATCTTTCTCTCTTCCTCTCTCCGTCCGTTGTGCATGTACGTCTCTGATGCGCTCTGCAACACACAAGCAACGGGTGACACGTGAGACACAAAATCGTGATTGGATTTTTTAGAGTTTTGGGTGATAAGCAATGTTTAGCACGGTGGAATCACCCGTTGTGCGCACGTATGCACGGAACACCTGTTATGCGAACGTTCTATTGTACGAACGTTCTATTATACGAACCGTGTATTTTCTACCACAATGCAGCACGTGCGCCTGTATAAAATGCGTGTTTACACGCTTCTCGCGGGACGAAATCAATTCAAAATGACTCGGTCTGAAATTGATGTGGCGCAAAGTTACATTACGGCAACAACACGAAAACGCGGCAGTGTCGATAATTGTGGAGCGGGCGGGAGGGGGGAGGGGAAGAAGCGATATAATTGAGGGACTTTTAAACGTGAGGACACAAAAATATGGTGTTGTAGAGTCAACTTTCACCGATGTAAAAAAAAAAGAAAGGAAAATTGGAAAACTATTAAAATATTAAAATCTAAATAATTATTAAATATATTAAATAATGTTAACTATAATATTAAATTATAATATAGTGTTGTAGAATCAACTTTCACCGATAAATGTAATATTAAATTATAATATAGTGTTGTAGAATCAACTTTCACCGATATAAAGAAAAGAAAGGAAAATTGGAAAACTATTGAAATATTAAAATCTAAATAATTATTAAATATATTAAATAATATTAAATGTAATATTAAATTATAATATGGTGTCGTAGAATCAACTTTCACTGATAAATGTAATATTAAATTATAATATAGTGTTGTAGAATCAACTTTCACCGATGTAAAGAAAAGAAAGGAAAATTGGAAAACTATTGAAATATTAAAATCTGAATAATTATTAAATATATTAAATAATATTAACTATAATATTAAATTATAATATGGTGTTGTAGAATCAACTTTCACCGATAAATGTAATATTAAATTATAATATGGTGTTGTAGAATCAACTTTCACCGATGTAAAGAAAAGAAAGGAAAATTGGAAAACTGTTAAAATATTAAAATCTAAATAATTATTAAATATATTAAATATAATATTAAATTAATAATAATATTTAATATTAATAATATTAAATATCTTAATAATATTAAATATTAAACTATTAAAATCTAAATATTAGAATTTACTATTAAAATGTCTATTTAGAGCAGATGCAATCTAGAGACACGACACGACAGAATGATCAATAAACAAAAATCAGTAATGAATAAGTGAAAATTTATTGGGGAGATCGATGACGAAATTGTTGTGGCCCTAATGGCCAATTCAGCAAGGATATCGGTCGTTTCAAAACGCTTTTCACTCAACGATAGCGATCTGTTCCGCTGAAAAATTTAATGCCCTCGGTTTTAATTTATCGGTATTTCCGGAAATACGTTGTTCAGACTGCGGGGCTGCCGCAAGCTCGCGTACATTGAATTTCCAATGTTTTCGGAAAAATCGACGATACTCACGCTGTCGTAATTTTATAACAAAGGATCGTGCGAATGAGCGTGAAGCTTCTGTTTTTTTTTTTCGCGTCAATTCTGGATCCGAAACACACAGCAGGATATTATTTGTACACGCGCAGCAAGTGAGAAAGCAAAGACGAAAGTTCGCGTGTTTCTCTCGAAATGTTGGGAAATTTTTTCCACGAGTATAGTTTGAAGAACGACGATGCCCCAAGTCGAAGTTGTCGAACTTCGAACACAGCCGGAAACGACGAAAATTCGAATCTCTCGAATCCCCCCATGGTTTGCTCGACTCCAATATTCCAAAGACTTCAAAGACAACAATTTCTCCAATTGTTTCTACACTTCACGTTTGCCTCATTTCAGTCACTGATTTACGTCGCTTCTTTCCTTTTTTTTTTTTAATTTAATTTCGATTGGACGTCGAGGATTTTGCGAAAGTCAGAAAATTCCTCGGGACATTAAGATCAATGCAGATTAATGCAGAGAGCATTAAATCGTCTAACAGACACAGATCTCGAGCACAGATGCCGACATTTATCACGGTTGTGCATCGAGAAAAAATTTTTTTTTCAATCGCCGGGGGAAGAAGATTGTGCTCGACAAAAAAATACGGACAGGGACGGAAGAAACGTCGTAAAGGAAAGTTGGCGAGCTGAGCGAACAAACTCGGCGCAATCAAAAAACTTGAATACTTGTCGTTGTGTAGAATCCGACGTTTCGTTGGACAGTATCTTGCCATTTGTGCCAAGTTGGAACTTTCAATTCAAAATACATATATATATATTTTTTTTTTATTTTCGTTATTTATCAAACTCACTTGACAAATCTTACAATTTATCACGAAGATTTTAGACTGTCTTAAAAAGTCGTTTCGATTTTCAGCGAAAGATATTTTTTGTAATAAGTCTTTATCACTTTTGCAAATTCGTCGTTGTTAAGTTATAGTCCTCTGTATCACTCTCGTTGAAAAAATTCTCTGAAAAGCTCTAAGCTTTCAGAGGAAATAACGATTTCCTCCACTAAATGAATATTTTATTAATACCATTCCTTTTTCTTTTTTAATGTTGAAACTATAATTCAGAGTTCTAATTGCAATATCCTTGTTACTCGGGGAAACGCGCGAAAAAGTTTGTTTCGTTCGAGGAGTGAAGGGTGCTTGAAAGTTTTTAGGAGCGTTCATGATAGAAATCACATTTCATAAATTCTTCGTAGAACTTTCCAGCCACTGGCGAATGCTATTCTTAAAAAATAACCGATTGTTGTAGCGTTAACTACTGGGGAATGTATGTATGTCTTATAGAATTAGATCAAATCGAGGGAATGACGTAGTTTAAAATAATGCACATTTCGTTCTTGTCAGTATTTACTTGTTTAGAATGATAGTTAACCACTTAAGTTGGAATTTAATCGACGAATACACTTTTGGCCCGAAATTGTTATTACGTGTGAGAGATACACCAACCTAACAATAAGTGATTAAGATAAAATTCATAATAATACGTGTTTATAAAATATGTGTACCACAGTGTCACATGTATCAGAAAGGTAACACACTTCTCCACGAATAACACATAATTCCTTATCTTATATTTATATTTTATTATTATTATATTATTACTGTATTATTATTATATTATAATATTATTATTAACGCTTAATTCCTTATCTTATATTTTATATTTTTATATTAATATTTATATGTAGTAGAAGGCTCAGACAAACTCTTATTAAGGACAGCTTCTATTATGCAAACATCTTTTTGTTACTAAAACTATCAATCGATGGGTTTGATTGTCATTTCTACTAATTTAAATAGTGGCGTTGTTTTAATAATATTTTTGATAATTTTGGTTACTGTAACTACATGTTGCAGTGTCCATATAATAATGATTAAATTATCATTAAAGCCTACTTTCATAGCATGAATTGTATATATTAGTAATATATTAGATTTAAATTTATACATATAAATTATATTAAATGTTAAATACTACATATATTAAATATTTATATATATAAATTATATATATGAAATATTTATGTATATTAAATTTAAATATATAAGATTACGAGCTCTGCATATAATATTATTATTGTATTATTATTATATTATAATAATATTATTATTAACGCGTAATTCCTTATCTTATATTTTATATTTTTATATTAATATTTATATGTAGTAGAAGGCTCAGACAAACTCTTATTAAGGACAGCTTCTATTATGCAAACATCTTTTTGTTACTAAAACTATCAATCGATGGGTTTGATTGTCATTTCTACTAATTTAAATAGTGGCGTTGTTTTAATAATATTTTTAATAATTTTGGTTACTGTAACTACATGTTGCAGTGTCCATATAATAATGATTAAATTTTCATTAAAAAAAGCCTATTTTCATAGCACGAATTATTCTCAATCTAAGGTAATTTATATATATTAGATTTAAATTTATATATATAAATTATATATATTAAATGTTAAATACTATATATATTAAATATTTATATATATAAATTATACATATTAATTATTTACATACATAAATTATACATATTAAATATTTACATATATATATATATATATATATATATATATATATAAATTATATATATTAAATATTTAATTTAATTTAATTATTAATTAAATTTAAATATTAAATTTACATATATAAGGTTACGAGGTTATAATATTACGTGTTAATCGTATTCTGATATTTCATTTGTAATTAGTTTCGATAGAGGGAGGAGCAAATATTTAAATCGAGATTCCGCAAGTGTACAGTATACACTAGGTTTGGATTTATGTTACGAGCTCTTTATACAATACTACGTGTCAATCTGTCTCGTATCCAGTTCCCGATAGAGACTACTTATACCGAGATTTCGTAAATTACAACGCACGCGGCCACGCACGTGCAACTTGAGCCGCGACGCGAATTCACGAATTCGACGAGCGAAATTCTCGTTCGACTCACTTTCGTTCGACTCGCTGAAAAGAAATCACTTTCTCGTTCTTTCTCATTCTCAATTCTCGTCGCTGTTGTCGTCAAAACACGGTTGAAAAATATTCCGCGCCATCTGTCCCGAGTTATTACGTTACAACAACGAATTTTTAATCACACGGATCAGTTCCGGTAGAAAAAAAAAAAAAAAACACGAGCTCCTCTCCCCGTGCTCCTCTTTCTGCGTTCCGCTTCTCCTCGCTGTTTCGTTATCGGCTTCCTTTCTCGACATACCCGCGGAATATGCTAACGGCATATTGAAAAGGCAACTCGACTTTTCGATGGATTTTATCGTCAATGATTGATGAACATGGGACACGTATCTCTCTCTCTCTCTCTCTCTCTCTCCCCTCCAGCCGACGATCCGGTGTGCAACCTTATAGCGGTAACTCTAACACGGTGTGTTATGCCTTCGCTTACAAATCAAATACCACTAGCAAGGCTTCCGTTGCCTCTTCCTTTTCCATCCAACTTTCCTTTCAACCCTACGCCATTGTCGCTGGCCACCCTCTCCGCCACCCTAA